CGCTTGGGGACACCTTGGTGCCTCCCTTCTGGGTCGCATCTATTGACATTTCTCCTGGGGCAGGTCCCGGCCCAGAACTTGGAACGTGTGCGGTCGTCTGCAGGCCAACTTCACGTTTAGTCGGCGTGTGGAATTCGGGGTTCCCAGCCCCACTTTTTGGAACTCAGGGCCAGGTGGGAATATGGGGCAGACCTCAGGCTTCCGGTAGTGAAATATAATAATGCTGGATTCAGTTCCACGAATGTTTTCTTGAAACGTCTGCCCTGGAAAAGGCGACCTGCCACTTTTCCTGTGGATGAGGATGGAGAACGTAGTAATCACAGTTACGATGTGAATGAGACACAAAACGTTGCCCAGATACGTTCTTCATGGACGGCGGTCCTTGGCCACACACATGTCTGTCATCAAACAAAAGTAAACTGCCCTCTTCTTTAAGATGAAACGTCCGAGGTGTTCCCAGTCGCGGTACATGTTCAGTGATCTTGATTTTTTTTTTTTTTTCTGGTTATCGCAACAAATGTCACAACATGAAATCTACTTAGCTTAGTTGAATGAATGAATGTTCAGTGGAATATGTAGTGCTGTGGGGAATGTTTTATTTAAAAACATGAATGGCGCTGTTTATCAAGTTTCACAGAGAAAACCTGGAAACAGCCTGTGATCTGCTTCCGGTGCTGACTTATTTCTCAGTATTTCTGCATCAGGTAGCATGGATATGGTTAAGTTTCAGAGGCCACGCCTGCTCCAAGCAGAATATGTGACCAACCCTTTGGTTCCCACAGTGTCCCTCATGGTTTCTTGTTACCTTTGGGGAAGCTGTCAGACTGACCTTGGACTTAACGAGGATTCTTAGAAGAGCTCACCTGTGACCTGGCAAGTACTTTCTACTGATCTGGATAGGATCCCCCACCTTATTCACCGGAACCTTTACCTTTTTGGGGCCTCCCTTCAGCATCTCTTTTGAAGCACTTTTCCCCCTTACGATCTTTAAACACCTCCTGAATTGGTGGGAAGTGCCTGGCCCTGCCCCTTTCCCTTCTCTTAGTGGGAAGATGGGCAGGCCTCAGACATGGCCTCGGAGGACCCAGGGGCACACCCTTGGGTGTCACCTGACACCCTCCCCTGTAGCACCTTGCAGAGGAGTGGCCAGGCAGGGGTTGGGGTGCCATTGACCTGGGCTACAGCCAGCCTGGGCTGGGCAGTGCCCTGGGAGGAAAACTCAGCAGTGCTGACTGGATTCCTAATCATCTCAGGCTCCTTTTAAGGGCCCTCTTTTTAGGGAGCAGAAGCAAGCATCTTCTTAAGCCTGTCTTGTTAGGTAACCATCACTCTTTAGAGAAAACTCGGGTAGTTTTCTTCAGTGTGATCAGTTTCCAAGAAGCTGTTTTTTTACTAGTGTTTTCTTTTATTTGGCTCATGGAAGTAATCGTGTGATCTTATTTCAGAGTTATAACATACAATACTCCAAGTCCCTGGCGGCTCAGGTGGTAAAGACTCTGCTTGCGATGCGGGAGACCCAGGTTTGATCCCTGGGTCGGGAAGATCCCCTGGAGAAGGAAATGGCAGCCCACTCCCGTGTTCTTGCCTGGGAAATCCCATGGACAGAGGAGCCTGGTGGGCTACAGTCCATGGGATCGCAGAGTCTGGCACAACCGAGCAACTAATAGAGTACTCCAAAAACAAGGAAACTGTGAGGATCATTTCTGAGTTTGTGGCAGTTACTGTTATTATTCGCTCATAAATATGCAGTCATGCAAAATGGGTCATGCACGCACACAAGATACACACAAATATGTTGAAGTATGAAGTCAGGTATTCAACAAATATGTTGAAGTATGAGGCCTCCCTGGTGGATCAGCTGGTAAAGAATCTGCTCACAAGGCGGGAGACCTAGGTTTAATCCCTGGGTTGGGAAGATTCCCTGGAGAAGGGAATGTCTACCCACTCCAGTATCTTTGACTGCAGAATCCCATGGACAGAGGAGCCTGGTGGGCTGTAATCCATGGAGTTGCAAAGAGTTGGACACAGCTGAGCAACTAACACAACACACATGAGGTCAGATTCCCCATGTTATTTATAATCTGGTGTAACTAATGGATGTGTATGCATCTATTTTAATACTTAAAAAGGGCAGGTAGGTAAATGACCTAGAGGTAAAAAGATTGCCTTTTGCGGTTTTCTGCTTGTTGCATCTTTTATGGGAAATGAAGATTGTCTATTTCAGTTCTCCATCCTCATTCCTAACCTTTTCCATTTGTGGACGTGGCACATCTGTGGTGTCCGGGTACTTTCATAAAATTATGAAAGTCATTTTGCAAGAGAGACATTTATAATATTAATGTGTCATGCTAAGGGGAAACTTTCTTGTATGACTAGCCTGATTGAAAGAGTTATCCAAAAAAAAAAGTTATCCAGGTAGTAAAAGAGAAACAACAGTGGGATGTGTTCTAAAGTGTACTGAGAGTGAAATTGTCATTAGTGTTTTTATGGTTAATTTATTACGCTGCATAACATGTTGCTTCATCTGTTAAGTAGGGAAGATGTTTGGACTAAGGGCACATTTCCCTTTAAACCGCCGTCGTCGGGGTCTTTGATGATTCATGCAGACTTACATTTACTTTGTTGTGACGTTTGTGTTGGGTGACTGTTGGCCTTGTTGATGTTTGAAGAATAGACAAACAGTAGGAGATAGATAAGTCATTGAAAATTTCCGCACTCCCTTTGCATACAGAGGACGTTTTGGAGGTGTTAAGTCTTTGGGGGGGAGTGTACATTGCTAGCTTGTGACCTTGAACACACTATATATCCTCTTGGAGTTTTATTCCTCATTTGGGGCTAAGATGGGGGTAATAATGCATCTGACAGAGTTACTGTGAGTGCGCAGATGTTTTGTGTGAAGTGAAATCCAAGCTGTTTACCATTGTCACAAGTGAGACTTCTGCCCGACCTTTCGGTTCGTCTTGTAGAACCTCTCTCTGCCTTCGCGCGGTCGTGGTCCAGCCCTTCTCTCCCTCGGCAATCCGGGCTGCATCTCGGTCCTCACCTTGCCCAGGGCTGCTCTTCACTGGCTCCTCCTGAGGTCGGTTCATCCTCGGATTGTATCGCCAGGGTCACCGTCTCAGGGAAGCCCTCCCTGACTCCGCTTCCTCACAGCTCCTTTAGGAATCCCACTTATCAGTTCGTGTGTTTCTGATCTCACGTTCATTACTGAGTTCCTTGTGGAGGGCCTGGGCTGTGGTCTTTCTCCTTTGTCCGCCTCACACTTCTCGTGCTTCCTGTCCCTCGGTGGGGACGCGGGTGCAGAAAGCTCTTGTGGTTTCCACGTGGTTGTCCACACAACCAGTAAAGGCAGCGGTGTGCTGCCTGGATCGTGGACGCCTGTTGGTTTTTTCGTTTCTCTTCTTCACCCCTGGCTGCGCTGATCTGCTCAGCTGAATAAATCATAGCACTAATGAGGCCTGAGTTCCTGAAACTCCATGGCCCACGTAGCCGCACGTGGGGAGAGTCACCCCTACCTGTCGGGCTGAGGTGTTTGTCTGAATTCACTCACGCACCCGGCTTGCTGGTCTGTCTCGTCTGGAATCACAGTTGCCTAGAGTGCGAGGGGAAGACCCGCCCCAGGGCACGTTCCCCTTGAAGTTGCCTTACAGAACTTGGTGGGGTGAGACTTAAGTTGTCTGGAACCTCTGGCACCCTCAGGATGCAACAGGAAGGAAAAACTCATTTGGAATTAGACCAGCCAGAGACCTAGGTGACTCTGAGCATAGCTGGTGAAGGTGCGCTCTCATAGGGCTGCAGGTTGAGGCCTGAATTTCAGCCCTTGGATTTTATGGGGCAATGATTTTTAAAATAAAACAAAAATATTATTTATCTTCTTGTACAATAATAATAGTGTCTTCTTCCACATTGGTGTAAAAATTAAGTGAGATAATGTATGTAAGGGGCTTCCGTGGTGGCTCAGATGGTGAGCCAGCTGGTGGACACCAGCAATGCAGGAGACCTGGGTTTGATCCCTGGGTCAGGCAGGCCCCCTGGAGGAGGGCATGGCAACCCACTCCAGTACTCTTGCCTGGAGAATCCCATGGACGGAGGAGCCTGGTGGGCTCAGTCCATGGGATCAGAGAGTCGGACACGACTGAGCCACTGAGCACGCTCAACAGTAATAATTAGTTTAAGCTATATCATGACGGGTGGCTTCCCTGCTGGCTCAGATGGTAAAGCGTCTGCCTGCAAGGTGGGAGACCCAGGTTCGATCCCTGGATTGGGAAGATCCCCTGGAGAAGGAAATGGCAACCCACTCCAGTACTCTTGCCTGGAAAATTCCGTGGACGGAAGAGCCTGGTAGGCTACAGGCCGTGGGGTCGCAAAGAGTTGGACATGACTGAGCGACTCCACTTCACTTATACCATGATTAGTTAAAAGAAGTATTCTGATTAACCTGCAGTATCTGCATAAGACTTGGTTTTTCTTGCTGAGGAAGCCTTCTGTGGGGAAAGGGTGTGAAACCAAGAAGATGAGAAGAATGGATATAAAAGAGGAAGGAGAATGGGAGTCTACAGAAGTACTGCTGGTGCAGCTACTAGAGTTTGAGGATTACACATGGCTACAGTGGGGCTTCCCTAGGTGCTCAGGTGGTGAAGAATCCTTCTGCAATGCAGGAGACCTGGGTTTGATCCCTTTGTTGGGAAGATCCCATGGAAACAGGAATGGCAACCACTCCAGTATTCTTTCCTGGAGAATTCCATGGACAGAGGCTACAGTCCATGGGGTCTGCAAAGAGTCAGACAGGACTGAGCGACTGACACTTCGACAGTGTGAGCAGCAGTGGGCTAACTGGCCCTGGGTCATCATGGTCGGTTGGTGGGAAATCTTGAGTGGAACATACCGCACACGGCTACCTGCAAGGTCCCTGGCGCTTGTTCTCCTATTATGTGTTTTAATGTTGTGTTATCACTCTTAACAGCCATCCCACTGAAATTTTTTCTTAAAATTATTAAAAGGATATCACACTTGGAGACTATGTTTGGGGAGCGGTGGCTATTCCATTGTCCTGGGGAGCCGACTCTCGCGTAGTAGAGAACGAGGAACACAGAGGACGAGACCACAGCTCTGCAGGCCTGGGAGCCGAAGCCGTCCGGCGTCAGAACCCTGCCGGCGTCACCATGCCGTCCTGAAGCCTGCCACCAGGTGAGTCTGGCCATGTGAAGAGACGTCTGTCTGTCTGGAGCGGTTTAGTGGCAGCTCATGCTTGTGTGTAAAGTGTCTCTCCCAAGAAGGCAGTGGAATATAGAGCTGCTCTTAGACAACAGTTCTTGGAAAGACAGTTTAATGTTACTCTTTCGAACTGTTTGGAAAAGATGTATGCAGCAGGTGCTGCCGATCGTCGTTTGGTGCTGCCTGCTGTTGTCCTTAGTATGATGGGCGGTATTCTGGCCACATCAGCAACACGCTGGGTGGTGGGAGCAGCAGGGTTAATGAATAGTCTTTTTAAAAAAGGAAGATGAATTTTTACTGGTAGACTTGTCGCTTCATGTGACTTCCCTTTTGTTTTGATGTTTATAATAATAATGAAAGTATCTGTTATTATACCCGAGTTTTGGTTTTAAAGAAGGTATCGTCCCTCTGATTGAAGTCATTTCTGTCTATTGACATTGCTTTTAACATAAAAATATACGTATATATATTTAGGGAATAACATTACTACCAAGTATCGCTGACTGTCAGGGTGTATAAACGTATACCAAACAAAGAATTATATTAGGATTTTAGTGCTTTTGTTCATTTGAAGAATTACTGCCTTTCTCGAATTAGAGGGCACCTTCTGATAACTTTATCCTCATGCAGACAATGAGGAGGCAGGTAAGAGTGCTTATGTAACGTGCCTGAGTCGCGTACCACGTCGCTGGCAGATTTCAGAATGCAGCTCCCCTGGCCATCGATGAAGGATGTATTACTTCTGGTAGCCAGGGAACGTGGAGTGTGTCTTCAAGGAGGATGTCACAGTTGAGCTGACTCTGGGGCGGCATTCGGCAGGGCTGTAGGTGCAAAGACAGTATCGAAGACAGGCTGAGCAACGGGAGCCGTCAACCTAGAGGCTGCTTTCTCCTCTCTCTAGGTGACGTGCCCTGTTCTCTGTTTCTTGGTTTACTTCCTTGATTTGATGGAGCTCATCCTCCTCGTAACTTCCTAGAAAGGTGATGGAGTGTGAGATCTTACGTGTCAGAAAATGTCTGTGTTCTAAATATTTGATTTGTTGTCTGGCTGTGTTCAGGCTTCCTAGGTCGCTCAGACAGTAAAGAATCTGCCTGCAGCGCAGGAGACCAGGGTCTCTGGGTCGGGAAGACCCCCGGGACGAGGGCACAGCAACCCACTCCAGTGTTCTTGCCTGGAGAAGTGTAAGGTTGCTGTGTTAGTCGGCACAGGATAGGTTTTGCTGCAATGGCAGATGAATGTCTGAAACCTCCGTGTGTAAGTGATGCTTCTCGCTCGCTTTCACCAAGTCCACTGCCGGGGGCTCCCCTGGCGCCTTCCTGCAGTCCCCCGTTGTGTCGCCTGGTGGCTCTGGGTTGCCCCAGCAGGTGCAGAAGAGAGCTGATGAGCTGGCACGAGCTGTCTTGCCCAGAAGTGACTGTGTCCTCGCTGCTGGAAGTCGGTTGGCCGGAAGCCGTCACGGGGCCCTGCGGGTGCAGTGCGGGGGGTGTGCTCAGGCAGAGTTGTTGACGTGCACGTGGGCCGCACGGGGAGTGGGCTTCCTCCTGAAATGGAAGGCTGACTTCCAGCTTTCGGTGTTACCACTGTGTCAGCTGCCATCTCTTTCCCAGTCATTTGTGCGTGACTTTTTTTTTCTCTTTCTGGAACTTTATAATATCTTTTCTATTTTTACCTAAATTTTAAAATCTCCCCATGATGTGCCTGATTATTATTTTTTTTCTTGGGTGTGTGTACTGAGCATTCATTCCATGGAGTTTTTCAGTGTGGAAACTGCATTCTTCAGTTTGGAGAAAAGTTTAAAATTTTCTTTTATAATTTTTTCCCCTCTTCATTTGCTTTCCTTTCCTGATTAAAACTCTTCTTTGTTGGGTGTTGGGTCTCCTAGACTGATGTATTAATTTTTTTTTTTTTTAAGCTTTTTCTCAAATGTTTAAGTCAGTTCATTTTGGGAGTTTTTTTGGGGGGAGGATTATCTCAGTTTTTCTTCTATTGAATTTTAATTTTGGCTGTAAGAGTTTTTGTTTTCTAACTGTTTTCTACTCCCACTTTATAAGGACTAGCATCTGACTCTTGTTTCAGATTTGTGATATTTTTTCTTAGGTTTGTTTTTGTTGCCTGCCCTTGTAGCAGGCTTAAATTTCAGCTTTCTCTCATCTGTCTGAGCTGGTTAACACTTGTCATCTGCTGTTATTTGCATTCCAGTTTTCATTGTCTTCGTGTTTTTTTTTTTTTTTATAATTTTTTAATGTTTTGGCTCAGTGGCTGGTGGGATTGAACCGAGGCCCCCTGCAGTGGAAGCGCCCGGTCCTAACCACTGGATTGCCAGGAAATTCCACATTCCTTGTGGGTTTTTTTGTGGTGATAAAAAAGTGTATGTTTCATCAGACGCTTGTCCAAAGTGTTTGTTTTGCCAGCATCAGTGAATAATAAAGTCTTTTACTTTGGGGGAAACCCGAGTCTGATTTTTCTTTAAATAAAGATTTTCATTGTGTTTTCAGTTAGTGCTGTCATGAAGCCACACCCATGCCACTGGACTTTGTGGAACTTAATTTATGAAATACCTCCTGATCAGCAGTGGGCAACGTGAATTATTTTCACTTGGATCATTTTAAAAGTATTAAAGGTCCCCTGTTTGGCAGCCTTGAATTAGTGATTACTTTTGACAATTAAGTTACTATTTTACATTGTGTATGTCCTTTTCCGTTTTGTAAGATATTTATATTTGCTTAATAGGGTTGTATCATTCATTTGAATAATTATTGCTCTATGGGATCTCCTTTATTGCTAATTATCAATGAATGAAGTTTACATTCCTCTTCATATACATTTAATAAATCTTACATGGATTGCTTTTTGTATCTGAAATGTGCTCTTATTTGTGTATACTTACATAAAATGAGGAAAAGATTGTTTTAGCTAAAAACTCTTATTCTCTAATGCAAACCAAATGAAAAACTTAAATGTGCAAAAGCGTTTGAGCACATAATTGACAAATTGCCTTTTAAATTGGAGCTTTGTGTTAAGATCGAAAGGCTGAAAACAGTCAAAGCAGTTGCTTTACTTTTCAGTTATTTTTATGTGCATGTTGCCACTAGGAGTTAAAAATTTTTGCCTTAGTAGTTCAGTATATTTCAGAGACCTTGTGTATAAACAAATCTTGAATGAAAAGTAATGAAGGAACTTCATCATTACACTGTTTAGGACAGCACCTCTGCCCCTGAATAAAAGTAAATAACAGACAGATACTTGGGCCCTGCTTAGTTGTCAGCAGTTGGTCAAGAATTCTCAAAGGATCTTACCTAGTTGGTAGTTTAACCAATAGTTTAATACTTTCTTATCGGCAGTGAAAGTGGTGAGATTATTTGGGAATTTGCTGTTTTTTAGCTAAAACATTGGTAAATGCCTGGAAAGGTGTAAAAATGTATCCATTCAGAAGATGCGCAGCCTCCTGTAAAGACTCTGCCTTCTAGTGCAGGGCACAGGCTCGACCCTGGTTCGGGAAGACCCCACATGCTGTGGAGCAGGTCAGCCCACGCGTGCCAGCTCCTCAGCTTGTGCTCTCGGGCAAGAGACACCGCCGCAGCGAGAGGCCCACCCGCCACAGCGAGAGAGGGGACCCCGTCCTCAGCGGGAAGGGAGGCCCACCCGCCGCAGCGAGAGAGGCGCCCCCGTCCTCAGCGGGAGGGGAGGCCCACCCACTGCAGCGAGAGAGGGGACCCCGTCCTCAGCGGGAAGGGAGGCCCACCCACCGCAGTAGAGAGGGGACCCGGTCCTCAGCAGGAGGGGAGGCCCGCGCAGCAACGGAGACCCCACACAGTAAACAGTGTAACACTAGAGAGTATAGCATTAATTTGAAAATAAATGATAAAAATTTAAACATTAGCATGTATACATAGAGATAGTAATGAACTGGTAATAGGTGTACTACTTCTTAATGGGTAACTGGTGGTGCAGTGGTAAAGAATCTGCCTGTCGATGCAGGAGATGTGGGTTTGATCCCTGGGTTCTGAAGATCCCCTGAAATAGGAAATGGCAAGCCACTCCAGTATTCTTGCCTGGAAAATGCCATGGACAGAGAAGCTTGGCAGCTACAGCCCATGGGGTTGCGAAGAGTTGGACACGACTGAGCAACTGCGCACACACTTTTCAAATCCAACGTGTTAAAATCTCAGTTAAGAAATCGAGGAGTGAGTTTATTTCAGTAATCAAATCTTATAAGCTAGCTCCATTGACGGTTTAAATGAATTTATGAATTTTTCTGTATTCAATTTAATAGGAATGTGTTGGACACAGTAATAGGAAAATGTATTTAGAAGTGCTCACATAAAAGTTCTCTACAGGTTAAATTTCTAAGTCTCTGCACATTTTTGTTCTCGTTGAACCAGATAATTTTAGAGCTTCATGTGTTTTAGAGATTAGCGTCTTCATTTTATATGGGAGATTTGAGACTCTGAGAAGCGCTGTGTCACACAGAAAACTTAGTGCCACGGTATAGTTTTGTATCTAGCCCACAAGTGGGAGTTGGAACTTGAAAATTTATTAGAGCTTTTGTTGTATTCATAAACATCATTCTTAATTTTAAATTATGTGGCAACTTTAAGTCCATTCTTCTTAACTTGATTATCGGATATGACTCTGCGACTTAAGTCAACACAGTGTGTGCGTCCTCAGTTTTGTCTGACTCTGCAACTCCATGGACCGTAGCCCACCAGGCTCCTCTGTTCACGGGATTCTCCAGGCAAGAATACTGGAGTGCATTGCCATTTCCTTCTCCAGGGGATCTTCCCGACCCAGGGATTGAACCCCCGTCTCCTGTATTAGCAGGTGATTCTTCCACTGAGCCATCTGGGAAACCCACTTATCTACCTTTATAGCCATGCAAATATTCATATGATTTCTTAAAGCTTATTGTGCAAAGATCAGAGACTCTAAAAGAAGTCAAAGCGATTCTATTATGTTTACT